GTGGCACGTGTAGTTCACTCCAAGGCCTCTTGTACTGTACACTGGCTAGAGAGTGGCAAGAACCGGCCTAACGCTAAGGAATTGCCAGCTGCCCAGATCCTTGGCATCCACACGGCTCCACCACCTCGGACTGGCACTAAATCTGGACGGGGGAGCACTGCAGCAGCTGCTGGTGCAGCTTCAGTGACTGTATTGGGTGATACTCGTCGGACTGAGCCCCATAACCCTGAGCCTTCACCAGACAGTTCTGCAAAGGTGGAGGAGAAGAGACCTTTGTCTGTTTCTGTCCCTGCTTCCTCTCAGCAGACTGTTGCACCTAGAGAAGAGGGAACTGGATTGGGACCCTCTGAGGGGGCAAAGACCTGTACTGACATGGAGGCCAGTGGTGGATCAGCAGTGACTAAAAGCACAGAGAAATTGTGTAGTGGTGTAGAGAGCTCATCAGAGCAGTGCAAAGAGGAGCTGAATACCAGCACCTCTTCACCCGAGATCAACCAGACCCCTCCAGCCAAACCTCTGGTGATTGCCTCAGACGAGGGAGTGGCACAGGGCTCTACACCAGCAGCCAAAGAACGGAGTGTTGAGCAGATCAGAGAGGAGGGCTGGAGTGTCCGTGATGCAGAGAACGTCACCCTGGCTGAGCTGTACCTGATGTTTGGGAAGCCAGGCAAGCTGCAGCTGGAGTATGAATGGCAGCCTGTTGCTGTTTCACCAAACAACCAAGAAAATGGACAAGGCTTGGCTCAATCCAAGCCCAGCAGGACACACCGGGTTTTGCGTTGCCTACTCAAGCTGGTTGCCACTGAGGTCAATCCTAAACCTTTGGTAGGGATTAAATGTGACTTCTTACAATACTGTTGCTGGTTGCCAGATAGTCTTTTTAATATGTTTTTGCAGAAAATGTGCTCAAATGTCATGATTTATTTTTCTTTGGCACAAACATTTGGGGCATATAGTAAATGTCTAGGAATGTATGCACTTTCAGATTGGGGTATATAGTAAATGTCTAGGAATGTATGCAGATCAGTGGCATGAGGGAAGAATGCAAATTTAAATAGATACTGTTTGAAAGTGGTCCATGTACCCTACTGCATATTGCATTGTTGGCGGCACTATTCCACAACAAATTCTCCATGGAGAGATTATTAGTGCTGGGGTTTGGCTGTGAACTGTGCTAAACTGTAATGGAATCATTATTTAGAGCTGTACATGTAGAGCAGGTGGTGTCATTAATGTGTCTTCTGCTCCAGGCTCCAGAGCTGTGCTCCACAGCCACATCACCACTCAGAACTCACCAGGAGGAGCAAAACCAGGCCCTCACATCTCCAGGAAAATTTCCTGTAGCAGGTGTTCGCAGCCCCAGTTGCGGCCGGCAGCAGGCCTCTATCCGAGGGGCCAGGTTACACTTGGCAAACACTGGAGTGTCAGGTATTCTCTCACATACTCACACCACTACGGCAAGCACAAAATGTGCATTCACCCTCAGTGTAGTTGATTTCCTATTTGTGGTAGTGTGACAGAATCTTGTTTGGATGAGTTGACCTGAGATTTACAAGTTGTGGAAGACATTTAGGATATGTATAAGATGACTCATATCTTATATACAGCATCAGCTTTTTTTTTTCTTGACTGTCAAATAATTGCCCTCTTCACACAACATGTCTGACTTGTTCTTCTTCTCTTCAGGTGGACGCAACCTTCCTCGCTCTCTGCTGGGATCAACAGTGGGCAGTGACTCAGAGGGCGGTGTTTTTGCAGTACCCACCACACTACCCCCCAACAGTTCGCGACACAACCGAATGTTCTCCCCCAACAAGGAAGCCGAGCTAGCCTTCAGACAACAGCTTGACTCTATCAGTGTAAGAAAATAAGAATGAGTTATTTTTTTATGAGTATGACTAGACCTGTATATTGCCCAGATGAATATTCACAAACGTTGATGTGCACGTTTGTTTTTTGTTTTTGTAGATGCAGTCAGATCTTTTCCTTTCCAGACAGCGAAAACCTCGGAATAGGCAACTGCGGAAACCGCTTGTAGTTCAGGTAAGAACAGATGACTGTTGATCTGTATCTCTTACATGTTGCCGTGTCAGGATAGGCTAAGAGTTCCTTCTGTCTTGTCTACAGCGAACACTGCTACCCCGAACCGCAGGAGACACTCCTCAGCATGTCTGCTCCTTCTCCATCCTCTCCAACTCCTCTGCCACAGGTATACTTTTGGACATGAATAGCCTAGAGTACAAAATCCTGTCAATGGAGGATGTAAAAATGTAGTTGCTTAAGGAAGTCATTTTACTTCAGTGGTGTGCAAAACCTTTGTTGGCTTCTGTAGCAGAAAACATAGCACCTTGATTAGGCTTATTTATGTTTTAGTGTTGGTAATACATTCAACTAATGTGCTCTTTGTACATAAGTAAATATAATTTCTCTTTTCACCATAAACTCTGCTAATCTTTTACTCTCTCACTTCCTGTTTCTTCCCTCAGGAACTGGATCCTTCCGGCCAATCCATACTCGTCTCGCTCCTTCCGCCCGCCCCCTCATTTCCAAAGCTTCTCCTGCAGCGCCCAACTCTACAGCGACTAACCAACTCTCCAGTATGTATCACTTCTATTAATCTATTTTCACGTTGTTTCAGTTTTATCGAGACTCAGTTAAATTCTATATAGAATATAATTTGTGCCAAATACTTAAGTTTTCTATTTGAGAATCACATTTAAACAACAAAATAAAACCACTTGTATATAATTAGAAGTAGCCCTCCCCATGACAGATCAGTTGATTCAGTTGGTGCTTTGTCTTCTCCTGGTTATGGGCATCTTACAAGCTAGCAACAATAATAATTCTTATAAACTCAAAATAAGAGGATGGTAAATGGTTTTATACTTGTATAGTGCTTTTCTGTGCCTTGCAGCACACTCAAAGTGGTTTCATACTACTTGGCCCATTCGCACTCACACATTCATACACCGGTGTCATCACCGGGAGCAACTGGACGGGGGGGGGCCTTCTGTGTCTTGCTCAAGGACATTTCGACATGTTGGGGGAATCGAACCGCTAATCCTCCGGTTAGGAGACCACCTGCCCTACCTCCTGAGCCACAGACGCCCTGAAACAAAAGAGCTTTTTTTTTTTTGCTCCTGCTTTTCAGTTTTTATATTCAAATCGTTGCTGAGTTTAATTGCTGAAGTTTAAAAATTGCAGGTAAAGCCTATCAGGTATGTACAGCTGTGACAAATTTTGTTTATACTCGCAGGTGCCATTGACCTGGCAGCTAAGTCAGCAGGCATCATCCCTGGAAGTCCCTGTCGAGAGTTGGGTTCTCCGGCTGTCGATAGCAGCACTGTGCTTGCCGCCACACCCGTTGTTGATGCTGAACCAGACTCTCAACTCCTTCAGCAAAATGTCCCAGAGGTCAGGAACAAAAGCACACAGACACACACAGCTTTGCTACATCAGGTGTCAAAGCATAACGGCTTCTTCTTTGGTGTAATTGTCTTCTCCCTGCCACTGCCCTTACACATAAAGCAAAGTAAAGTGATTAGAATTCATATTACAGTTAACAAAGCTGGGTCATTCTTCACTCTAGTGAATTTCTTTCATTTGTACAGTGTAGTCATTCAAACTAAAATCCCAAGTAATACAAGTCACTACTCATGAAAACGTCGAGCCCCCTTTATTTGCTAAGGTTTAAGTTCCTTCTCTATCTTGCAGGTTACCAAAAATCAATTCAGAAATACATGCATGTTGCCTTGAAGGTGCAGCTAGTGAAGCAATGAAAGCTTTGCATCACGTTCAGCTTGTTCTTTCCACAGAATGGTCTGCCTCCACCATCTCCTGGGGTAACTGGTGGTGGAGACTCGCTCCTCTCTCCACCCAGCGTAGCCTCGCTACTGGACATCTCACTCCCTGGCCCCCCTGAAGAGGCTTTAGCCCCCGGAGAAACTCAAACACACATCAGTGACTCCATCATCGAGCTTGCCATCAACTCTGCCCATTATGGTGCCTGCATTTGTTTCTACTGACAGGCCTTAAAAGGCGTATATATAATAATTTCTTCAAAAATAACAAGACAGTAGATTGATATTAAATTAAAATGTTTAACACGTAAGTAAAGTTTGTGATCCATACCTTCTGGGTTTCATGAGAGGTTGCCTTATGTAGCAAAGTTTAAATTATGTGAGGGATTCTGTAGAAGAAATATTTTGACATGCAACCAACTATAGTTTTGAGCCATCAGGCTTATTGAACATTGCGTGTGCAATCTAATGGCTGTTTTCCTGTTTCGCTGCAGGTGAGGATGCTGCTCTCTCTCCAGCCAAGCTGAGCAACAATGACACCTCCAAACTGCTGGCCTCATCTCCATCAGTCAGCCCATCCCGAGGCTGGATCCCATCACCCAGCCACGACCCCCAGTGGTACCCCAGCGACTCATCTGATTCCACACTGGGTTGCCTCCTCTGTAAGTCTTTTACAGAGACTATTACAGATCACTTCCCCCCCAAATTCATTATTCAGTGCAGCTTTGCTACAGTGCTTTTCTTTTGTCCAAAGATTTGATAGTAGAAAATAAATTTACAGGTCTTTGTGCCATTGAAAATTCTAAAATCAGCTTATTGATATGATTGGTTTTAGTTTTTCTAAAGCTTTCATGTTATTTGTGGACTATCAAACTTGTCGCTCGACTGTGAAACAGTACATACAAGTAATTTATTGTATTTTAAGTAAAGAACTGTCCCGTCACACACACCGTTATTATTAGGCACAGGAATACAGCTGCAGACTTCCTTCTACAGTGATGTCCCATGAAGACAGATTTGTTTCCACTCTTCATGTGTGCACAGCCTTCTGTTCAGGGTTTCTGTTTCCTTTTCTTTCTTTCCAGCCAGCATGGTCTCCCCTGATAAGAGCAGGCGAACCACCCTAACCCCCTCTGGCCCCTCCAGTGGCACAGCTTTGCTTGGTCCCAGCCTCCTGGACTGCAACTCCCATGATTCTTTCCAGTCTCGTGGCCTTTCTGATGTGGCAGAGGTAAGCTGACATTACAGGATATGCAAGTGGAGAGAGTTTTTACTTTTTTTTTTAACTAAATCCAACTGATAAAATACCTTTTATGCTTTTAGAGTGTTTTCTCACCTACATACATTTTTACCTTTGACCTTGTTAGTGGTAAGTGAAGTACAGTGCCTGGATATTCTCTCCTTCACAAAGCTGTTTCACTTTACTCTCAGCTATATTTTTCATTTCTTATGCAACTATATGTGACAATTTGATGTGAAAAACACTATTAATATCCTGGAGAGACTGTCTGGAAACATGCTCCTGATTTTTAAATAATAAAACGTCTCTCGACTTTCACAGCTACATTTTCACTCCACCCTCCAGTGTGACTCGATCACATATCTGCCTATAGAAATTCACCTCCTTATTGTAAAATTTGACTTGACAAGCAAATAAAAAAATGGTAAACCCTTAATTCCATTCACTGTAAAATGCAGACAAAAAGCTTTTTATCTTTGAACGCTCTGTGGTTGTACCTGCAGATGGACTCTCAGCTTGCTTGTATGATGAGTGAGAGCAGCGTAGACTACATTGCTCGCTTCAATGATCTGGCTCAAGAGCTGGCTGTGACTGAGCCCTCCATCCCGCCACCCTGAGGAAGAGAGGACCATTATCTGAAGAACATAAGATGCCGAGTGACCAGAGGAGAGGTCTAGACTGTCGCCCTGCTGTTCGTTCTACATTGGAGAAAAGACAGCTGTGGTGAAAGACCAACCCCCAAAAGCCATCCCTGCCCTGTTTGTAAAAGTGCAATAATAACAGTGAACCTTGACCGTTGTTCAAAATGACTTCAAAATGTGTTGGTTTCACTGAACTGTTATTTTAGGTGGAAATTCCCTTTAAAAAAAACTTTTTAAAAAACAGATGTATCTACAAAACACAACCTCATGTACAGGAGAATACTATGCCATATCCGAACAAAATATTTTCACTGGTCTTTTATGTCTTTTCCTGCTCTTTGTGCATTTGTCTGTCTTGTCTTCTAGTCTCTCAGATTGATCCCCAGAATGTGTAGATCAGATCCCAGCAGGTATCCAATAGCTTCTGGAGGGGGATGTTGAAGGTAACGTCACTGAGAAAGACGCTGAATGTGTTGACATACTTCACACAGTCTCTTCGGTTGTTACAGTCACTGTCCTTGGTTGCAAAAGTGAAGCACAGCAGGGCAGCTAAAAGGTTCTTCAGTTCTTACAGCCAAATGCAAAATGGCAGCTTTTTTTTAGCTG